ATATTTACTTTCCGGGCATTTTCTATCTAATATTGCAATTTTGAATACAAATTCTTGAAATTACTTGTAATGAAGTTCATGGAAAGCGGAAAACTTTTCTGTGAAAATGAGCTCAAAATTGCGCATTTTCAGAATATCTCTAACATTTTCTCAAGCTTCATATTAATCATTGAAAATATGCACTTAAGATTACGTTTTCCTTTTCTGTAATATTCTTAAAAACATATTTCGATTCTACTATTAGGGGCTGGAATAATTCAGATATCGTAAAAAAATGTTTTGACGCCGATAGCGACAATACTTGGGGGCAAGACTTGAAAGCTATCCTGAAGTCATTAAAAAAGCAGTGCTAGAATGCTTGCACCATTCTGTTGTCGTTTTTGGCGTAAAATAAAAAAGCAAAATAAAGGACCAAGTCATTTCCTCAAAGGAAGGGAAGCGTCGAAATCCTTGATCGAAATGGGGTCATTGACCCATAAACTGAGGCACAATACTTGTTACCAGCATATTTAGTGTTTTAGAATTATGCAGTCCAATTTTTCTGATGAATACGATTACTTTTTCAAAAAGGTTTGATAGTTAATTGTGGCATAATCATAAGTTGGGAGCTATCTTCGCTGTAGTCTCTCCTGTCTGTTTAAGTAATTAGCATACAGGTGGAAACCAGTCATCTTCTTTCAGTTAGTTTTTTTAAGTAATAGCTGAAATTTCAATAATATAATACTACGCAACTATTACTAATAATCCTAGAAACTAATTTAGATTTATTTCGACAAAAAAAGAAGTGTAAACTGTATGTGACGTATGGGGAGAAGTACGAGCGGTTGTAGTACCATTTAAGTTTTACAATATTTCGCAGGCCTTTTTTACCCTAGGCAGGCAACCTATTTGTAATACGGGTACATTTCATAATCTAAGACTTTTGTATATCCAATTACTTCAGATTTCTAAAAGTTTCTTAAAATATCAAAAAAATTTCAATGTGTATGTGAATTCACAGTGAGCTATTTTCAGAAATGTGCCTACGAAATTTTCTGAGAAACTGCTAAAAATGTCCCTCTTTTCCAAAGAATTCATATCTTTGAAAAGTTTTCCTTTATGATAATTAGAAAGATTCGTATCAAGTAAACTATTAAGGGACCTGAAAATTTAGGAAACGTTAAAAAAATGTGTTTTATTTTATGTAACTCAAAATATTCGTACTAATGAATAGTAAGAGGGTAACCGCGTGTATTCGTTCGGCACTTCTCATCCACAGTTTGAGGAGCAAAAGTGTCACTCAACGCGTCTCAGTCTACTGGTGGGAAATCTGACAATTTTCCCCGCACCCTTCCGAGAATTATCGAATATGTTTTCTGATTTAAGACACCTACGGTGATCAAATGCTCATGAGAGACGAGTCTAAGGACACGATCTTATAGCATCTTTCCAGAATATTCTGGAAGAATCCTAGAAAATAATCCTTTCGGTGTGGGGGGGGGGGGGCTGAGGTGCAAGGCACCTACTTTTTAAATTGTGAATTACTGTACTTATTTTCTGGCATAACGTGAATTCGGAGAGGTAAATTAGGGAAGAAAGAACCAGTGGATTTAGTCTAAAGCACTCATGAACTGATAAGAGATTTCATTTTCATTGCTACCAAAACCGGCAAAGGTGGCTGTGGACATCAACTGATGTCTCTGACGGGTCCTAGGGTTTGAGGCCCGACTGTGGCAGGACTTTTGACACTAGCTACAGCTAGGTCAAATTCAGCCGCTATTTGGAGAATTCTAGCCGGCCGGCTGCTCTAATCGGTATTTTCCATGTGGTCTTCGATCAATACCAGGCGAATGCCGGAGCAATTCCCTAACGAACGGACCCCGCGCGATCACTCCTTCCCCGTCCTTTCTTCATCCCTTACACGTATATGCAGCTTGCACCTGCACACTTGTGGCGAGCTGGTTCCGGCTGGGGCGGACCCCTACTGGTGGCAGATACCTGATTGGGGAAAGTCCCCGCAAATCGACGTTGTCTGCGTGGACCTAGCCATCTAGCTAGGGAAGATTACCACCACTTCCGCGACGAAAACATGCACTACGCTTACGAGACTAATGACCTTAGCAGCTGATGCGCTGGGAATCACTACTCAATCACTCCAACTAAAGTTTGACCTATTCACACTGAATATGAACATAAAAATATTATATAATTGTGTAAACAGCAAATAACTATGTAATTACAAATAAATAGAAACATGTTTACCATACCATATTGTTTGTAATTACACATTTTCTGTACATACAATTTAAGAAATCTCATTTTTGTTTACTCATTCTGTGAAGAGATTTTAGTTTAATGAAATGACAGAAAGAAAATTATATGACTATCAATACATGCCGAGTGTTTTAGACATGATCCACGGTCATTTCTTCCTTCTTTTACGCAAATAATTGATCAACTTACACTAGATAATTCATAAAAGACAATAATTAAACCTAATTATGTAATTAACATACCAATTTAAAAAATTATTGATACTTTTTCTTGTATCTTTAGTTCCCTAGTACAGATGAGTTAGGCAATTGTATTGTTTAAAATTTCTTTTCATTAGTAACTTTCTTAACACAAATAACAAATTTCAATGTGAAAGAACTTGCAACAGGTGTGAAGCCAAGATAATTGTATGCATTGCAAGAAAGTAAACTAAACTGTTGTTCTAATTGAGAGTATAAATATGATATTCTAAATTTTCTGTAAAGTTAGTTAACTTGGAGAAATGCATTCATTGGACAGCTAGAATGAAAGTTTTTGAAGAAAATAAAATTCCAAATATTTTTTCTAAGGCTGGGCAAGAAATGCTGTTGAGTGTCATCAATGCATCTCAAAGCTACCCAGAGTTATGTACAGTTAGCAACTCTTAGTTAATATAAATTTACTTCACAAGTGATTATATCAAATATTATTTGATGTGGTCAGAAGCTGTATTTTCTACTTTGGGAATGCAAAGGATGCATGTACAGCATGTTACAACATACTTTACTACTTCAGAAACACATCCATTAGACTCTATATCAAATTATAGAAGTTTGTATTTTGTGAACTAATGCAAGTGATGCCTTTCTAATGACAAATTATTATTTGTTTCTTTATTCATCAGAGTGTCATCTGTGGAACAATATCTGTTGTGTCTGCCTTGGTATTGGTTAGTCTGTCTTTTTCTTGCACCTGTTCAAACTTGCTTTTGTAGTTTAGTAATTTATTCCATTAGTATATCCTACCTTGTGGCAAGTGTGGTGAATCGCATAAAATAATCAGCTGAGACGTGATGCATGAAAAAAACTTGTCAAATGACATTCAGAAATTTACTGGATCTGGAATGGGTAGCACCACTTTGTGATATGACGCAGTATAGTCCAAATATTTTGAGCAACTTACTTCTTCTCCTTTTTGAGTAATAATTCATGTCAACCTTACAATCAGTTGTACAAAATTGACAGCAATTACTTATAATTTAATTTTTTTTAGCATTAACTGTGTAGATACTACTTCCATGCTAAATATTTTATTGTTTCTACTGTGAAATAGATTAATTCATTAAGCAGCTTAAGTATTAATTCCTGTAATATTGTATCTTCAGTCAAATATGGTTTTAGAAATTTTTATTTGTATAGCATTGTCTTCCTACCTGCTTTAAATTCATAATTTAAATCCATCACTTCAGTGTTAAAAGTGTTCGCAATCTCTAATATCATAAAAATAAGTCTACAGCTTATTCCTTTCCAACTTGTTCCACTTTACTTCAGGTCATTGTCTCCATTTTATATCATGCTCTTTCACTCAGTTCTTCTTTCTCAATCAGTCCCAACAATGCATGGCATTTGTTGTCAACAGCTGCTCCTCCCACTTCACAACGATTAGTCTTGTAAGCATCTCATTTCACTATTTTTAAGAATATCCATTTTAATTTCAAATTGGTTTTCAGACGTTGTGATCTCGTTTATTCCAGCATTTGATTTACAAATCATGAATAGACATTATATATGTAGGATCTTTAAAGGGCGAATTTCTTGTCTGATTTGGCAGTACAACTTGTCATGAAAATTGCTTTTTCTCATAAATGCACAGTGCTGTTAGATCCCTGGAGTTAGACTGTAATCCCTCCTGGAATCCGATGTCTTGAGTTGCGAAGTTAAGAAATTCGGTTAGCGACAGTGGTCTGTTCCATAGTATTAGTTACAATATATGTTTGTAATTAATTTTGAGTATCAATGTCCAAAACAGTAAACATTTGTCTAAAAATCCTGTCTGCATATCAAACAGTGTAAAAGTTCTAAATCTACATTTTTAAAAAAATGAAATTGATGAATGAATTACCAATTCACTTTTATTCTCATTAAAATGATTTCCTTTCACTGCTTATTTACCAATAGAAAAGGAAAGTATTACTCAATAATATATCCTTTATATTCTATAGAAATACAAATAAAATGGAATTTAATAAATTTTTATTTTTCTTTAAAGTGGGTTATTTAATCTGAATTGCTTTTGTTTTTTAAAAATTAATAAAACTTAATTCCATTTGTTTTTCTCTTTCACATATTAAATCCTTCCCGATTATTCCAAATTGCAGTGCTCTTGAGAATAGCAACAATGAAGTGTAATTTCAATATGTACAGATTCTCTGAATCCAAATCATTGATTTTTTTTAATGAATTTGTGAAAAAAAGTGTTTTGTTTCTATTGGCATGCTGCATAATGTTGGTGGAAAATAAGGCATATTTGAGTAATTTTGTCCTTGAAACTGCCTAAGTTAGAGAATTTGAGTAAAAGACAAACTTGGAAAATAACTTTTAGTTTCACCCAGTAGAAACTTTTTTTAAAGTTAATTATAAATTCTTATTGGCATTGTATGACTCAAGGGTTATATACACAAGAAATGACGTTTTGTGCCCCCAATCAAAGTATTTGAGAATGCAAAATGCTTTCAAAAATTAAGTTGTACACTTCTCATTTTATTTCAGCTGCCTATGCTAATAGGAGGCAGTCAATGTTCATGACTCCCAGTTATGGATACGGAAGATCGTTTGCTGATCCAGACATGTATGGAGATGGACGTCACTATAACCTTGCAGCGCAAGAAATAATGAACAGACAAAGCCTTGGCCCAGAAGCGCTCCGTCAGAGCTTTGCAGCGCCTCGAACTAGTGTAGCTCGACGTAGGCCAAGCGCATGGATGTGAACACAGAAGTTATTAAATATGAAAATGAGAATATACAATGTACCTTGTGCCCAGTACCTTTTGTAGGTAGTACAATACTCTCATCAATAAGAAAGGTACCAACAAATTTTGGTACTCAATTGTTTGAATTCTGGTCATCACTTTTCAAAGTCAATATTTATATCAGGTACATTAAGTAAATGTGTGGACGTGTGTGAATGAATTCAGAGTGACATTTTTATTCATACAGATGGGTAATTGTGTACTTTAATTTATTAGTTGTTTTGTTATATTTTGTAATTAAAGGTACTATAAAATTATTATGTCAAAAATTTGTTCAGTTTAATTTAGTACATGTTTTTCATTAGCAACTTTATCTCTAATATTAATGAATTTGTTGTTTTGTTTGAATTATTCAGCTTCAAATTGAATAATTCAGTTTATATTTTGCCACATCATACAAAAGTTACATTTACATAGTAGTATTGTGATTATTTCAGTTTATTTCTCGGTAGCAATAAAAAATATTTTAATATAAAATATTCCAAAAAACGTAATATGAAACATTCAATTTCACCATTATGCTTTAATATGGTGTTAAGTGCAAATTTAATTTGATATATCTTAACTCCAAACTGGTTTGTTTAAGTTTTGTGAGAAACTTAGCGAATTTGTGCTGGGGTGTGAACAATTCAGATATGTTTCAATATATTTTTATACATTTCCACAGACAAAAAACATTTCAATATCTATGATTTATTGCTCTAGAGAAATTATTTTATTAGTTTTGTGATAAGTGACCACTTAATGATCCACTAGTTTACAAAAACTGTTGGCAAATTTGTTCCAATAAAACACTATGTTCTTTTGTAATTTCTTTTATTCATTTTAAGGTAATAAGGTATGTAATTACTTAAAAACAAAGAATATTGAATAAGGATTTCTGGGATTCCAAAAGTATTGCTACTCTGCTACAGAAAATTGTAAGTTTTGGAAGAACAATTTATTGAATTTGTTAGGAAAAGGCCACTACGGATGATTCAATTTTTATGTATGACACTATAGGAAATACTATTTACATCCATGAAATTAACAACCATCTTCCTTCCTAGATGATTTTCTCATTTCTTCAAAGTGTTTTAAAACTAAGGAACAAAACAAAGGGGGAAAAGTCAGTAAACACTTAAAAAACCTTGTGGCTCCCACGAAGAAGAAAAAAAAACAACTAAATACAGGAAATCATAAAATAACAAATTCAGCTCTTAATTAACACTCAATATATTGAAAAAATTTAATAATTATTAGATATCTTTATAGAAACAAATGCTCATATAAAAAAAAAGTTAAAATAATAATGTGCTAACTTAATTTAAGACAAGGGCTTTGACAAAACTAAAATACATTAAATAATAATAAAAATTTCAAAGTAGGCATTATTTTTCTCTTTATTAATTAACATTATATTCGACCTTTTCAGATGCAAGAAATGTTCATAAATTGGCATCACAGCTCATGCCTCCCCATTGGTCCTCATTGCTTCTCCTCCCTGTATGATTTCTTAGTACGAAGTATGTTGCCAACTGCAAGACTACTTTTGATTTTTGATTATTTTTTTTTTTTCCAAAACTAATTTTGATTCTCTTATAAATTATAATGCTGATATACCAACAAAAAAAATTGCATATGCAACTCATTTATATTTTTCGTAGTTGTACAAATTTGAACACGTGTGTGTGTGTGTGTATTTAAAACAATTGCATATGTAATAATGCAATAAATCATATAAAATAAACTAGTTGCATAATACACTGTTACACCTTAAATTTATAATAAACATTTAGTTACAAATGTTAATCTTTAAATAAATATCAAAGGTCCAGGTAATGAAAAAATAAACTATTAGTTTACATTTCCAATTTGGGAAAAGTTCAGTTACAATTTATTGCTAATTAAATTTCAAAAAACACACCCACCCTAAAGAAACAAGGAAGTTTCCTTGGCAAATTAGATAAGCATGCTTTTCTCTAAAAAATAAAATATCTATGGACACTATATTGCATCTTAAATGTGTCATTTAAGAATTCTTTATACATTACCAGATTAAAATTTTTGCTAAGTTAATAAGTTCAAATTAAGTTTTGGAAATGTTTTCCATTAAACCAAACACTAAAATTGAATTCAGGCACGCAAGGGGGTTCTCAACAGGGTTGATTGGTATACATCAACATTAAGATTCCATTATTTGCAAAAACTATTAATGATAATATATAATAATATATTAATACGACCAATATATATTTTCATCTAATAATAAATTACAAATTTCATCATGATAAAATAATATGAAAGAAGAATATTAGAGTAAATAAATCTTAAATAATTGAGTTCCCCAGTTTTAATAAGTTCAATAAAAAAGGAATTCTAGAACAAGGAACTAAAACTCTGCCATGTTCCTGGCTTTTTTTTTTCTTCCCCCCCCCCCCCCCCCCCCCCCCCCCCCCCCCTTGTGGAATAGAGCTCCATACATTTGAAGGATAATTAAACTGATTTTGCTTCTGATATATTTGTAAAATTAAAATCTATAATAGTACTATCAAAATTATGAAAGATTAATTTTTGACAAGTCATTATGTATTATGATTAAGTAGGGTGCTGCATATTATAGGAGAAAAGCAGGGGGGGAGAGGGAGCAAACAAACCAGACTTTTAAAAGAGGCCAATTATAGAAAAACCATTAGAAATCCCTACTGTAAACCTTCATTTTTGAAATTAAAACCAATATGTTCGAAATGTTTCTTTGGCCAACTACATATTGGCTAACACCATTATGTTTACTGTTACTGTTTTGTACACTAAGTAGTAGTTTGAAACTCCAAATCACTGTTTCCTATTTTCAGTTTCTTCTTTCTTAATTTGATTAATGAAAACAAGCATTATGATAAACAAAGAAAGGAACAAAACTAAAGTATTAAAAAAAGGGTGAATGAAAAATTAATCAGACTTGGTTAGTTGGGCAAGATCTGATAAAATTTCAGATTTTTTCAAAAAATTTCATGAGTTTATTTCAGGATAATTTTGAAAGTTATAGGCAATTATCAATATTTATTGAAGGAAGTGAAACAGTTGTGTGTTTCTTTTTGTTTTGTTTTACAAATTATGGAAAAATTGGATTCCCACCTCCTAAAATTAATGTGGACATCTGAAGCTTGAACATATACAATTCTTCTGCAAAAGTATGCAGTGAATAGTAATATTCAAACAGCAAATAAATTGTCCTGCCATGCGTAGTAAAACTCACATGGTGAGCTATTCAACATCAGTATAGAGAAATGTTAACTAAAATCCTAAAATTAAGTCAGCCCATGCTTTCTGCTAACTTACATAATGCATTTCTAGAAAATCTTCTGGACAGGCCAATATTTGGTCTCTAGCTTATACTTAAAATAATTTCCATTTAAGTAATTAGAGGGTAACTTACCGTATAATAATATTTTATCCATTCTTCATTCTTCCTATGTTTTTTCCCCCTGCATTTTAGGTTATCAGCATTAAATAATAATTTTCTAGCATGAGTATATGTAGTTCAGATTGGCAAAGGTAAACATGAAATATTAACAACTTTGAATTTGAAGTAACTTTATTAGAGATTCAAAGGAATCTTGTTGGATTACATAATAAGACATTGTTTAAATAGTCTTGTGCCACCAAGTAGCAGTAGACTTCAAGAAGGAAAATGTAATTTTCACCCTTCAAAAAATTAAAATAAAACCTTCAAATTTCCTTGCTTCAAGAGTATTACTGGAACAAACATTGCAATCCACGAATGTTAGAAACGTATGTTAAAAAATTAAACGGAACACCCAAGAAAACTCATTTTATTTAGTGAGCCCAATGCATGGTACACAAATTTTGGAAGAGGAGTTTGGAACTTTCATCTAACTAAATTTAATTTCTTGATTACAAATTAACTGAAAGATTTTTCAACTTTATCAAAACTACTCTGTCACACAATAGCCCTCCCAGTAGACCCTACAGTTTGAAACAAAAGATTAGTGCACATGCTACCAAACAATATTAAAATTAATTTTGTTCATGCTAGAAAATGGAAAAAAAAATGTTACTGAAAAGAATTGCTGAATAAAATAATTCCTTCTCAATATTGAAGAAAGTTTCCTGTAAATTAAAAAAAAAAAAATTACATGAATACCATACTTACATAGAGCATGTCCATTCCCTGAAGAACTTCTATCCCAAGTAACAGACTTCACCCCTCTGTAATAAATTATCTTACCTTTAACAGCATTTTCCATACTTACTTTCAAGCAAACAAAATCAATGTGTGTACTATATTCAACATGCTCGTCAGGCTAGTTTTCTGGTTAGATATATCTTTAGTTAACATGTAGAGCTTATTTCAGAATAAGGATCACTTCTTAACTTCACAGAAAAACGGAACTTGATGAGCAATGCTGTTCTCAAAAATTCTGATTTTATGAAGCTAACACTTGCAAACACAATTCATCTTGACCACTACTTATGTTTAAAACTTGGAATGGAGAATAGTTTTATGGTATTTTACAGTTAACAATCCTCCACTACTTCAGGCTCCTGCATAAATGAACCAAAACAGCAAGAGCCTTGTTACTGAATTTATGACTTAACTATTTTAAGTCTGATCACTTTTGGCCACACTTGCAAATTGTATTAATGTAATAAAGAAAGGCAAGGCAAGTTATCACTTTTCTTACTTTTAAGTTTTCCAATAATCAGAACTGCACAATCAATGAACACGGTAGAAACTTATGTTCCAAGTTTGGCAAATTTTCCCCTCAAAACACATGATAGGAATGAACAATTACTTCCCAAAATGTTGGTTCACTAGCACTTGAACGAGCAGATTCTCTCATTACCGCATGAGCACTTTTTGTGAACTTCACTCACTTTTACACCCATTCAGATATCACCAACAACTTTTAGCATGAGTAGTGAGGCACTGGGATAAATGATAAAATTCATTAGTTGTCAGCAAGAACTTCTCTATTTTCACAAGGATGGGTTCCACACACTTCACACTGTTGCCCAGGGTTAAAGAATGCAAATGAAGTTTGAAATGAAAATAAAAATGCTGCCAACCAAATGTTACATGTGACAGTAAACACATTTTAATAACTTGTGACGGTTACGTATAATCTTTAACCCTATATGGGCATCATACACAACACTAGTACACTTTTTCACTTACAAAACTCACTTAATGGTCCACTAACACAAAACACAGCTAACTTGTCCTTTAGAGTTCCAACAGCACTAAGGCTCACTTCACTGGATCACTGATTCACAGTTCTGCTTTAAGTCCCTATAATCACATCCACTACACATACATACCACTCGCTACTGCTAACATTGAACACACGTCACATTGATCAAATCATCTGATTTACATTAGTCACGTTTAATGTAATAGTAACACTTTAAATGTACACAAGTGAAAATCCAAGTATTATTATTCTCTTGAGCCGTATGTGCAGTGAAGACAATGACATTGATACAGCCCTTTCACATTGTATTATATTATCTACCAAGGAAATCAATGAATCATCAAAGTCTTAAAAAAATATTTTTGATCTTACAAAGGCAATTAATATACCATGTGAAAGAACTGCAACTTATAAAATTGGAAATAGAAGCAATTATCTTGCATCAGCCCGTTAGTGCTAATTATTTCTGCTAACTTACTGAAAAAGTTATCAAATACCAACTCCAAAACAGAATCAAATATAAAAGAAAATACAAATTGTGAAAAAACATATTGAAGCACCCTCTGAGACCAACTGGCATAATACACAAGTAATGAAGAGTATAACTGTTATTACTAACATTTTCAATAGATCACTACTAAACATTCAGTTCAAAATGTACACTTACTTGTTTTCAGATAGTATTATAATTAAAAATATGACACTTGTCATAATATTGAACTTTCAGATTAAAAAATGTAGTATATACAAAACAGTGGATAAATGAGGTACTATGAAGAAAGGCAACTGCCAATCTTAATACACATACTGCCATAATTAGTCTCAAGCTATAAGTTTAATTTCACCTAATTTGTAAAGATTATGCAACTTACAGCAGCTAGACTCAGAAATGCCCTAAAGACAATTTAAGCACTTCCTCCTCTTACTACAACAATAACTAGATGATCCTCTTTCAGGCCTTCCTCCGAGAGATTGGGGGCTGTTCTCTTCAAAAGCTCTGTGGAGAATGCACATGGGGGAAAAGCATACAAAACACCAGTAGCTTCTGTATCCTTATTTAGTAGGGAAATAACACCAGCTGCCTCTTTTTGCTTTAGGTACGATACCAGATTCCTAAGGGGACGTGTTTGCACAGAAGTATCCTCGTTTGAAACAGAAGCTGTTGAACCTGAAAGGCCCAAAAATATAGCATGGGAACTGGAAGAAGCAATGCGTTTTGATACATCTTCAAGTTTAGGTTGATCAAGTCTTAACCTCTGTGTAATTCGTAAATGATGCTTTCCCTCATCATCTTTCATTAAACTTTCTACAATATCAGTATCACCATCAGTTAGATGAAACTTGGCAGGAAACAGAGAATTCTTCAGGATCAAAGCTCCTTGCCATACTGCCACACATTTCCGAGCAAGCTCTGGAAGTGTGCGAGCAGATCCAAGCATTCCATTTCGACGGCCATCTGAGCCAGAATCACTTTCAACAGAGTGCCGACGTGGTGAATGAGACCTTGACCTATCAACACCTGGTTCAGCTGAACCAGACCGTCTTGGAGGTCGGGGCATTTCATATTCTATTTCAGGAATTGGTCTTCGTCCAACCCAATCAGGCTCTTCACCTCGCATGTAAGCTTCTCCTGGATAACCTCCTCCACGGTAGCCTCCTCTTCCACCACCACGGCGATCGTGCCATGGCAAACCACGACCTCTGAACCCACCCCGAGGTGGCGGTCCATAAGAGAATTCACCCTCTGGCCATGGTTCATACCCAGGTTCATAGGCAAACTCCTCACGCCCAGGAACTCTGGCACGAAAATCACCACCAGCTGCCATGTCTTCTGGAAATTGCCTAGGTTTAAACCCATAAGCGGATGATGAGGATGAAGATGGAGCAGGAACAACATCCGCAAAATCAGCACGAAGTCGATGTTCTGGGCCACCAAGAGGAAAACCACGCATTTCTTTAACAGCTGCAGTAGCAGCATCAATTGAATCGTAGAGAATATAGGCATTAGTATCACCTTTAACATAATCTATTTTTTTTATTGCACCAAATCTGTCAAATTCCCTTTCCAATTGTGAAATTGATGTCCAAGGACCCAAACCACCAATCCATATCCTAGTGGTAGGAGTTGCCTTTCCATAACCAATTTTACATTGAAATTTGCCAATATATTGTCCAGAGAGCTCAACTTTTGATCTGTGGGCCATATCCAAATTTTGGAATCTAACAAATGCATATGCATTTCCTGTTCCAGGGGGAGGTCTTTTAATATCGATATCCTCAACAACACCATAGCGGCCAAAAATTCTACGCAGCTCCTCCTCTGAAATATTTATTTCTAAATTACCTGCAAACAATGTTCTTGTAGCCAATGGATCATCTTCAGGAGGAACATGATGAAGATAATTTGGAAATTTATCTTTCTTATTGTCAAATTTTTCAAAATGTGGATGAGGCTTAAAGCCTCCTGGTACCATGTGCCGTGGTGGTCCATAATGATGGGGAGGACCAGGTGGTATGTGTGGTGGTCCATGATGGACAGGAGCTCGCATGAACTCATGATGGGGTGGTGGTGGGCCTTCTCTTCTAAACTCGCGATGAGGAAGGCCTGGAGGTGGGCCATAAGACCTTTCATATCTACTCTCACTCGGTCTGTGACGTTCAGGGCCAGGAGACCGGGATCGTTGATGATAGTACCTATCATAATCAGGGCTGATACTTCTAGGCCTACTAGGTCCCCTACGGTACAGATCACTACTACTCCTGCTACTTTCATAAACTGCTTCAACTAAAGCTACCTTATCAAATAAAATAATTCTTGGTTTTGCATGTTTTGCATCACGAGCATCTTCAGCATTTCTAAAACAAACGTATGCAACTCGCTCATCAAGATCATGAGATATTCTCACACTGAGATCACCGAACTTTTTGTATTCTCTGTAAAGTGTATCCTTTATAACCTCATCACTGGCTTTAGGATGAAGAGCACTAACACACAAAACCTTGTATGTAGGATATGATCTTTCAGACACTTCCCTTGACCGTCCATAGTCATCCCTATGAGAACTTTCGGAGGGGTATCGACCCCTTGGGCTTGGCGAACGGCCTCGGCTTCGACGACGTATCCTTTCCGGGGTGATTCGCTCGTCGGAGCTGTCGTCGTACCTCCCAATGCTGGATCGTGATCTCTTGCTCCTCGGCGGTGTATCGCGGTCCGAACTCCTCTTCATGTTGCGTATTTTAACAGTAATTCTTTGTTTATCACCCCTTGGAATCCCAATCATCAATCGACAATGCACTACCGAACAAACCAATGAAAGTGGCACTGAATACTTATGTATTACTGCGCACTATATCACTTTAGATGAAATACATTCGCACGAGATTATACAAACTATTTTTGTATTACATACGCAAAAAACCACGTTATACTATTTTCATACATCGTAGTTACCTACAATAAAGAAGCAAACATCATTACGTAATTTTCAAGCGAAGGAATTTCCGGAACTACTTCCAAGCGTCTACCAGGGCACCGTTCAGAAAGAGGTTAGAGGTACTTCTCACCGCTACTCATATTAAATCAGGAATTAAAGGATTCTCGTTGAGAAAACCGCTGTTATTTTATTTAAATTCAAGAAATACAATATATTTTTCTTAAGATGTAAACGAGGAGATTTAGGAGAGGAGCCAAATTTAATTATAATACAAATTAACATTTAAATAAATACGAATTAACATTTTTGTAATTTTCTATTACTTCGAAGCTCATTGATGTCTTTTCTTAAGAATTATTCAGTGTTTTATGAACGTTTTAAATTTCTCTTGATCTTAAGGACGTTCATTTATTAATTCCAAAAATCTTGGATTCAGAACTTGTATCAAAATGTCGGTATGAAATGTAAAGCAAAGAGTAAAGGTGACCCAAAGGCGGTAGTTTAATTGTGCTTTCTCTTGCGAATCGATTTTTCCTTCTATTGTCACTCTTACTCGAGTTATGAGCAAAGAGTATGAGTTATGAGTGTAGAATGTTTTTAGTGCAACTGTGTGGTTAACTTTTTTTTCACATATGTTTTGTCATTTCACCGGAAAACGTTTGAATTTTCTTTATTTCGAATGCTAATTAAAAACGTGAGGATTTTTGAAGTTCAAATTTCATTTCTACAGTAAAAGGAGGCCTTTGGTCGGGAAGGAATAGAAAATTCGTGAAACGCTTTAACTATTCCAGAGGGAGCACAAACGACTATTTCAGTATTTGTACTTTGCGTTCCAGGGATGTGAATAAAAATATTTGTATTAGTGTGTGGTATATGATATTCCTAGTAATGCTGTGCTGTTAGTGTCTTGCTGAATGCTACTCTTATTTGTGGTAAGTAGCTGTGACTAATTATATCGCATGAAATATTTGATTTTCACTCTATAGTTTCAAAAGCTGCCAGTTCCAGAATGATGAAGCACACTAAAGATATTAATTGATTGCTTCAGTAGTTATTTTCAGTAATCAAGAGTTACTGAGAAATATACAAAATCTATGAAATCAGTAATTGAAAAACTTCAATATTTTGAACAGTGTCTTAGGCTATCACACTTTCTTCTTAACTACCTTTTCCAATATACAAAATCTGCTTAACATGAAATTCTTTATGTACTTCATGCTCGTTCGTACAATAATTTGGGTATCAGAAAATATATTTTTTTAATCACTGTTATTAAAATGACTAATCCTGCTTTGAAATATCTTTCCTGAAATGTATTAATAACCTGTTTCTTCAATTTGACATATTTTCATTTGTCTTATTTTCAAAGACGGTAGTTTAATTTAATTTATGTCAAAAACAGTTAAAAACTGTGTATGACGTGCTGTGGGGAGAAGTTAATTTGAAGTTACATTTATGTCCAGAAGCAAAACAAGGGGTAGTCCCAGCATTTGCTCAAGGATCAGGGAAACTGGAACGAAAACCTGATCGGGATGAGGGTCATTGACCTAGAAGCTGAAGTACAATACTTGTTACAGGTTCTTTACAATTATACAATCCAAATGATATATAATACATTAAATGTCATTTTAAAAATTAATATTACTTTCTTTTTGGATGCTCATAAAAGAGAACAAATTTTTCTCTTCAGACAGACAAGAACATTTATGTAAGGAAAATAATAATGCTGGGAAAGTTGAAGTGTTCCCAAACAATTTTAATTTTACTACTAACACTTTTTAACTGATATTATTGAAGGTGTATGAATATTCTCTTTCACATTACCAATAAAATGTATTGAACTCTGATCATTTTCTAAATGGCATAGCAACCCATTTAAGTGAAATCTGGATTTCTTATGAAATTAATCGTGAAAGCAAAATTTTGTAATTAAAATAATCAAACTCTCAGTTGGGGTAAAACCAATGGTAAACCAAGTAAAGAAATTGTTGCTCTCTAGGATATTGTTGTTTTTTGAAATATTGTGGCACAAATTTCAGAAGTAGGATTTTTGCATAAACTGGTTAACTGGTAAACGCAATCACAAACTTATAGGGATTTGCTTTTAAAAATGTAATCATTGGTTTAAGAAATCAGTTTTTAATTGAATATGTGTGAGTTTAATCTCGGATTTATCAGTGTTTAATTAAACAATTTTTTGACTCTTGATTCCATTATAATCTAGAAGTCTGCAACTATACAATTTAATTACAACTTTGCAATCTCCATAAAATCAAAAACACTTATTTTTCACAAGTTTGTTACTAAAATTTTCTCATATATTTTATTTTAATTTTTAAAATTCTTGGCCAACTTGAATATATGGATATAAAAATATCATAAATGTTTTTGAGACTTTTCTATTGTTAAGGCTTTTCGAAGTCCAATTGTCATTCCTAAATTTTACCAAATAAGGGGGGAAAGATCCTATGTGTGTGTGTGTAGGTTTGGATACAATCTTTAATGTTTCTTAAAATTGTGAGAAAACTTATTTATAGTTGTTAGAAACAATAACAGACACAATTTGGAAGAGATCTCTCTTTGTTTGGTCACATATTCAGATTGGATGATAACTGGTTAACACAACAAATTATCACGTATCTTTGGAATAATAAATCTACCATATTGTATAATGGCATAACTGTAAAAAATGTGTATTCTTTTGTAAATTATAAATTTATTCTCGTGGTCTCTTATGACCCAGTTGAAAAGTGGCCTTAAATAAATAAAATAAAAATAAAAAAATCTTCCGTAACCTGGGCTCAGGAAGTTCAAAAAGATATGGAAATGAACAAAACAAGAGAAGAAGAAAAATCACATATATATATTTATGAGTACATGTGCTTTAAATAATGTCAGATAAAGCTTCTCGGAAACAACTGTTTTGTATGAAACCTAGGTCAAATTGTCTTATTTTCAGAAACGCTCAAAGGCCATTTTCTCAAAAACGGATCCAGTTTTCCTTGAAACGTTTCGAAAAGATAATGAGGTGGATAATGCTAATTACACTTTAATATGACGTAAAGTACATTTGGGGATATTTTTTTAGTTCAAAAAATACACAAATATAATTTGTTGAAAGATCTCTTACGCTGTTAATATGTACACTTCCAGCGATTTGTGAACACTATTGCATTTATGAGTTAAAGTGCTTGAATTTTCTTCTAATAAAGTTTTTCAAAAACTCAATGGTTTTCTGTGAAAAAGAGCTTAAAATTTCGCATTTCCAGTAGCGCTTTAACTCCATTTTTTAAAAGCGGCTCCATTGAAAAAAAATGTAAATTGCCATTTAGGACGAGTGTTTACCGTTTTATTTTTAATATTCTAAATATAATATTTAGGTTCTACTATTAGAAATCGCAAAATTGGGGAAACTAAAAATGTTCGCATGTTTGTTCGTTCTCGCGTATGGCTGCATGTCGAACAAATGTGCTTGCCATAGGCCGTCCAGTCGTTTCTTAAACATCCGCAGTCTATCGTAAAGGCGTGCTGGCGCGTGTAATTCCACCGCTAATCCGAGTCCAACGGTTGAGGCGGTCTTATTCCACACGGTGACTAAATTATAATACCTGCATCGCGTAGTTCGTTATTTCAAATATTTCTCCGTCATGACTACCATTGCCTGCTATTTTCAACGCGAACAATAGTCAGTCTTCGAACCAGTTTGTTAGGATCGCTCCAATACTTGTAATCTGGACCGTTCACAAAACGTAGTCCGCCTCCCAAAACGGCGATTGCGAGTGTGACGTTCGCTTTTGTGTTACCTCGTTCCGGGAAATTTCTCGAACTCGAATTTGTTCTTATTTGCGTTGATGACATCGGTGCTGTCTGTTTGATTTTGTGGACATGAGTACATGAGAATTCTTTTGTAGTTTGTCACCCACAACTCTAGATTTTTGAAAATTAATCAATTGTAATCAATATATGGTATCTGCGTTTAGTTGCTCTAGTCTTGCGCGCTCGTGCGTATGTGCGTGCGTGTGTGTGTGTTAGTTCCAGTCATCCACATTCTCTAGTGAGGACAGTCATATTATCTACAGTTAACTATTCAGTTTTAATCTCGATTCTATTGTGTAGTTCATTTTAATATTTTTTATATTTTGACAATATTCTATTGTTTTGAAATTTGTTTTTGTTTATCAGATTGGTATCAGTGAAGCGCACTGGTGTGATTTATGCTCACTGTAGTCTGTGTACCACATTCCATAGTGAAGGAAAATACGATTACAGGTAAATAGCCCTTTAATTTGAATTTCGATACTATTGTTTAGCTCATTGTCATTTTTATAATTGTATTTTTTATTTTGGATGTATTATTTTCGAAATATTTTTTTTCTTAGATGTAAAATGGATAGTGTACACCAACAATGGGCTGTACTGCTACGTCGTAGTGCTGACGGTAATTATCTTTGATAATTCAAATGAATTTAAGTGAATTTTTAGTTCACTTTCAATAACAAATTAAATTGTTTTTTTAGTTCACTATCAATATTTTATAATTTCGAAAATTTGTTTCTTCAGATCATGACGTACAACGAGTGTTAGTCATTGCAAATGCTCTCCAGTGGATAGATATTGTACATTCTTTAAACGCTTGGGTACAACGTGGTGTCAGAGCAAAATCTTTCCATGATATCCAACCCGTCGCATTTCTCAATCGGTGTCAAGTTCCGTTCCAATTCAAGTTGTTTGAAAAGCTCACCCCAAGGCGTCGAAGTTTTAATTTTTTCGCTCACCCCTAGTATCGATTGACGATTGAACATTAGAATCCCATGTCTCACAAAATTGCCAAGGACTCAGTCCATCTTCCTGAGCGCTCTGGCAACCGCCGTGTCGCGAGATATCACGAAATAGTTGTTACAAAAAATTCTAAATTTCAGGTGGGAGTCGGTGGCAAAAGTAAACCTCCCGTTAGAATCAGTCGATTCCAAGCGGTTGTTGACGTGCATAATCGAGACCGGAAATTCTTCCTGTTTGCCATCGCTTGTGGACGCTCGCAAACGTATTGTTCTCTGATGAGTCAACTTTCTCGAATCACGGTGCAATCAATCGACACAACATGCATTATTGCAGTACTGAAAACCCACATTGGTTACGTCAAGTTGAACAGCGCCCTTGGAACGTGAATGTTCGGTGTGGCATAAATGGCGACAAACTCATCGGCCCAATTTGAATTGTGAAAAATATCGAAACTTCTTGAAGAACTAACTTCCGTTATTGCTTGCAGACCTTCCCTTTAAAGTGAGACAAACAATGTGGTTTCAACATGATGGTTGGCCAGCTCATTATTATCGAGAAGCACGAGAAGTATTAGGTCGCGTGTACCCTCGCCGGTAGATGGGAAGAGGTGGTACAGTAGCTTGGCCTGCCAGATCACCAGATCTTACCTCCCCTGATTTTTATTTGTGGGGTCACTTGAAGGGTGAAGTTTATGATGTACACGTAATACATACATTCGTACATATAGGGATTCTAAGTCCCACCATGTTTGGATTAAAAAATTGGGGACGCTGGTGGTTAGAAGCCAGCACATTGTCGGCGGGCATAGGGTTTTCGTGTGCAATCGCTGTTTGAACTTGTTTTAATACATGAGGGAAATTGAGGCTAATGCGCTAGATTGCACTTTCGTGTCATCCACATGTTTCACGTTGCCGCCTGGACTAAATAAAAAATAAGTATGACAGGCAGGAGATATTAGAAAAAAATTAGGATCTATAAAATACAGATTTTTAAAGGTTAGGTTAGAAAAAAATATTTATTCTTTGTGAATGGCAACTTCGTTTTCATAATGAATCAGGAGAGGGTACACTATTAATTGTTCAGAGAATGGGAGGGGAGTGAGAGTGAGGAGCGTTTGCAATGACATACAACTCGTGTAATGCTCTTCTGGGCCATTACATCATCCTTTGGCATCATGGCAAGACGCCTGGAAGGAGGTCAACATGTGGAAGAACCTTGCTAAGTTGTGACGTGTTGCGTCGTGGTGAGTGTTCGACGAGTGATGCGGGCGACCGTTATCTAGAATGGACGCGTCGCCTCCACGCGAGGATTGTGAGTGCAAGAGAGGAGGAAGACAGCGAGGAAGAGAAGCCACTGTAGATTGCGCTGCCTTTCGAACTTCATCATCTATTCTGTCACAGACTCGACCTTGCGTGGTACGGGACGTCATAGTGAAATTCTGCGTCACCATCGCATGTGCTGTGTGGTGACAGTCTCGATGTAGCGGACAGCCTGTGTCGCCTCTTCGCCATGCAGTGGAGAACTGACACAGTCTGGCTCTTGTGCTCTAGGTCCGGGTCGCACGATTCTTCATATACTCGGGCAGCGCACCGAGGTGGAGTTGGAACTCCTCTGGATTATTGACTGTTCACTTGTGTGTGCGTTTTACACACAGCTTTATCACATCGTGCACGGTGTGTACTTGTGTAGTCTGTGACGTTCTCCTCCGTGTTCAACATGGCCATAACCGGTGAGTATTTTGTAGTATGTGTGTCTGGAGGTAGCAGTGTGTGTGGCGATCGTGACCCATGTCTTCAGTGTATTGCGATTCTCTTGTAAAGTTGTCATCCACTATTCATTGCCATGAACGGATGTGATATGTAGTTACTGTGGGCATGTACAGCGCGGTGTCATTGCAAATACTGCGAGCTTTCGCGAACCGTTCACATTTCTAAACGTCTTTTTGTGTGCCTTCAGCCTTTATAAATTGCCAACCTAGTACAAACGAGAGCCTACAATGTATAATTTCTCCAATATGACTTTGATAGACCGACGCAGCGTGACGAACAGTGTAGAGTAGGACCTAAAAACTCTCCCGCATTCTCAAATTTTAACGCTTATGTGCTCACAAGGCCCCAATGCAGGTGAATGGTATTTCAATCTTGTTAGAGATGTGTTGAACACCCGCTTTGGCGAGTTTCAAGGTCATTTTCGTCTCTGGCCACTAGAAATACAAATTTTATGAGTTTTTAACGCAAACTAAATGAAATTTAAGGATATTTTTAGTGTATGATAAATATTTTAATTAATTGAAATGTTCAATTTAATCAAATTTGTGTCATCACTTGGCAGATTTTTTGACCTAAAACTACGCCAAAAATGATAAAAAAATATGCAATTTTTAAATTTTCAAAATGCCCCAAAAGCAATGCAAAATTATGTAAAAAAAAGGTCGGATGAACTCAAGCTGTTGGATATATTACTGATGTAATCGAGGGTTCTTTTATTCGCTCAAGTAAACTGAGCTTTCCAACTTTTGCTTTGGACAGATTCTTTACCAAAAAATCTGTCTCCAGTTATCCCGGAATCAATAGAATCGCTAGTGGCGCTGCCAGGCGTCACAGGATCCTTAGATTACGTACTCACAATGGCTAACATTACAACTTCTTTGCGAAGAAATCGAATAGGCTATGAGGTATATGTGCTCAGGAATTCTCTGGAGAACATTTTGTGCATCTCGTAAGTATTATTTGAAGCAAGAGCCAGTAAAATGTTAAAATATATTAAGTCAGCAAAAAATTCATTAAAATGACATAAAACCTAAAAAATGATTAATTAGTCAAAATCGTCGAAAATGCAAAAAATGGGTAAATTCCTTTTCTCACAACATAAAATGAATTTCTTTATCAATCGACATTTTTCTAAATTGAAAAGAAAAAAAATGTCATTTCATTAAATTCCGCCCCCTAGTCATCACTTTCTCCAAAAAGTTTCAATCCATTAATAATTCTCCAGATCAATTCCAATCCATTAATAATTGAGGATTATATACATATGTTTATGAATAAGTAGCATTTTTCGTACAATTTATCAAAAAATGGTTGATAGACTCTGCCGCAATAAATGCAGGTTTTTCTTTGCGCTCTAATATTTTTAATAAAGTTTAATTGCTAGGAAGGCTGGCGCACTATCAAAAATTCAAAAGTGACCTTTTTTAATCACTCCAGGGTCCGAGACATCTCTAGCGATCATCACATCGAGGTGATTGGGCTTGTGTTGCCCACGCCATAGCCATAGCGGGCTATTCCGCGGGAAGACTGATGGCGCCCTCTTCATTCGTCATTGTCACGTGTTCCACCTGTGTTCTGCAGCTCTTCTGCAGTTGTCGGTACGTATACCATCATGCGTGCGTACTCCTCCCTGTTGTGATTAGTGTTCTACAGTTGTCCTATTGCTGTTGTAGAGCAACAGTACTTTGAGGACGGCTGTCTCCTGGTGGATTCTCTGTGGGCTGACATGGGAGGACCTCGCACGCATTCCAACGTACTTACCACGGTGACGGCTTTTAAAGTGGTGTTGTGAAGTGTTGCCTTCCGACTGATGCAAATGGAGACCTTCGTGAGGCATGTTGGCCTTGTTTCCGCTATCTTCCATGTGGTTACCCGCCCCTCGTTTGCAATTGTGTGGACTGCCGCCGTGAAAGCGAGGAACGCTATCCTGTATGTTTAGCTGACTGTCGGTATGTATATTTGGTTTTCTATTGTTTCCCTTACTTTCGCAGATACCTTTTTCGGACTCATGTCCTCATTTGGATCATTCACCTCTGTGACAGGTTGCGCACACGTTTTACAGAACACGTCTCCGAAACCTGAAATGCTCGCGTCTACGGACTCGTCTGACATGGTAGACGATGGACCTTCATGCGATGGACACGTGCAGACGAACGTCCTGCCCGTTCGCGAGGACGCAATTCGTCACCCTACGCAAACGCCAAGAAGCTCTTCATGTGTGCGTCGCATCATGACTTGTATTGTACTTCGTAAATAAACATGTACATTGAGTATGCTGGGGTTGTGGCGTGGAAGACATGCATTCACTATCCACTTCTGCCTTTCCCATTCCTTGTAAAAAGAAAAAAAAAAGACTTTTCAAAAATAAAATAAATGCTTTATACATATTAGAAATACGAATCAACAAAACAAATAATTCTTGGTGGCGTACAGAGAGGCTTTTTTCCCCCATTACTTCTTTCGAGGTAGAGTTCTCTGTACTTCTTCCTTGACACACACCATTGCGTCGTCCAGTGATGCAGGGTTTCCTTACCGCGAATCTTTCTACCATTCTGTTGCCTTCCATTTGTGAGCTATTTGGCAGGTGAATCTCCGCATCTTTTTACTTAATACTGCTTCTGGAATACTTCTAAGAACATTACGGGAATCATACTGCATTAGCATTTTTCTGTTCCGTAAATCTGTTGCATGAGAGAGTTCACCCTCACGCAAGATCTCGAATAGCTCTTGTAGAGTGTACATGCATCTGAAAAAAATATTTTTTCCCCTTTTTTCGGAAAGGAGCAAATTTGGGCAAAAAGGTTTTTTACCATTTTGTTTCACAAGGTTTAGGGAATATAATCGTGTAAAGGACATTTTTGGTAATTGCTGGCAACTCAAGATAACTCAGTTTAAATTTCCGATCACTAAGAAAACTGTCTCTATTTTCACACATATAATACAACCAAAATGTAAAGTTTTCCATCAAACGTTCTAGCATTCTAAAGAACATACGAGATGGGTCAAATATGAACGAGAATTTTGTAATCAACGTGATATTTTTCTGCCGACAGTTATGTAAATGTAACTTCAAATTAACTTCACCCCATTGCGCGTCACACGCTGTTTTTAACTGTTTTTCACGTAAATAAATGTCATGTGGCAAATGTCCACAGTTGTTTATTCTCAATCAGCGTTGTGTTTTTTCTGGAGTCCATATTGTATTTATTACAAAGAGAGAACACGTTTCAGTTGCACAACGCAGTATTATTTGATGTTTTGTAAACAAAAGTGTGAAACCAACAGAAACGTTTAAGTGTTTGTGTGGACAATTCGTGAGACCCTTTCAAAGCCTCAAGTAGGCGGCCGTAAAAGCGTGTCCAGCCTCACTCGTCTGCGCTCACGGACGAGCATTACGTTGGACAACATTTGGAGAATGGAAGACATTCGTGATGACATACGAATAACTATTCGTTATGTGGGTGAAACAATTTCATTATCTTAAGAAAGTGTGCAATCATCAGAAACCACTTAAAATATCGGAAAAACTATGCGAAATGGGCACCGAAAAAAACATTTCTAATAATTATACAATCTTCCTTGATAGTTGGGTTTTCGCTCTCCTCGATAGTCACAAAAATATTATAAACGATTTTACTCTCGAGAAAGCTTGAAGTTGTCCATGCGAAAATACCGGATCAGGCAAGCATAACCTCACTCTTTGCAATATTACTTAACTTTATTTCCGAACTGTGAGGTAGATCCGTGCAATTTAATAGCCGAAAATATCAAGTTATTACTTTCATTTGACATACATTTGCAGATTCTGCACGTATCTGGACAGATGGGGTTTTATAGAGAAGCGCCGAACATACAGAATGTCCAAGAAGCTCTCGTCCTTTAGATTATTTAGTGAGAAACGATGATTTGTCGATTTCGGCTTCTAACTTCCTGATCTTAAGGCCCTAGAACGCATCGTCTAAGAGTTATTCAACTAAAAGTATTTTAATAATGCTGCCCGGGTGTTGCGTGATGCATTTGACATGAATGTTTAGACTCATTTTTTCCAACAAATCCTGCATATTTTCAAAGTCAAAGTGCAAATCGACATGACACCGTGAAGTTCTCTTTCTTTAGAGACCTTATTTATGAAGATCGGTTGCGTGTGCACAAAACTCAATTATAGAACTACTAAAATAATATAGAAGATAATTTTATATAATATAAAAAATAAAACATGAGGTGAAGTATCAGTATCTGGACTAGCTTATGCTATACAACTATCTTTCTACCTATTTTCGATTATTAATGAGTCGATCTGTTTAATAATAAATTTAATTTGTTTGCCTGTAACATTTAGATGTTTTATTAACCTGCGCAAAAGAGCATTTACAGTACTAAATGTGCTACGAGAATAGTCATCCTAGTTTTCTTGCGTCAACTTGTCCAAGATATAAATTAATTTATTGAAATCACTAAGCACTTTAGGGGAAAGTATTATTTCCCAGATTTTTCACTACACTGCCATGTGTGAACACGCTGACTTGAAAAATTCACTGAATCACTGCTGATAAAGAACATACTGTCAGAGGTAAAACACTCCAATCGCAACAAGACACGTCTTCACTATACACAACCATGCATTCTTTGCCACTATTATTTCTTTGTTCGTTTTGACGAAGAACACCAAAAGATGTAAGAGCTCTCTTTCTATCATAGTTTGATTTAGTTTCTAAGCTCTCTGATAATGCCCTTTTCAAATTTTCTTGAGCCTTCTGCCTTATCTTTTGGATTCACATGTAGAATACTCAGGCAATTTTGTGGAGATAGTTCCTTGAGTCTCTGTCGTCCTATGTACATTGTAGTTCTTTTCGTACCTTATCATAGCATAAGGACTTGCAGGGAATATCTCTTTTATCAAAGTGATACCCACCTTCAAACACATGAGAGACTTCGGATAAATAAGGTAAAATATTTATCTCAAATGACCATAAAAGGGTCTTCCAATCTACCCTACCAGAAAAATAAGCAATATTGTGAAAGAAATAGAGGTCTACGCTTTCATTAAATTTCATTAATAATTCATGTTTTTAAAAATATTTTCCCCTCGTGAACTGCCGTGTCCATGAATATATGAGTACATTTATTTAGGTTAGGGTTTGAATTTTGAGGGTGAACGACAAAAAGATTTTCAATACGAATAAAATGAGCATTTAGTGATAAGTAGTTGTGGTACCATGCCAAGTGAATGTGTACTGTAGGTTATGTCACAAACTTTTCACAGAAACAAGAATGTCAATACTTACATTCGACAAATGAGCGGTTGCACTTTACGCATATTTACACATGCAATCTTTATCGGTATTAAGCTACTATTATTACTTCTAATTGTTGCGACGAGAGTATTTAGGATTATTTGCATAAAATTGAATTAATGATGAACGCAAACCACGGCAGCAAAGGTAAAAAAAGATGGAGGAGTCTAAGCCTTCTAAGCGTAACAAAGAGAGCGTTTAGTATCGACAAGCGAAAAATAGAAAAAAAATATTAGAATGTATAATATCTCATTCTGTAGATAGGAAACATTTTTTTGAGTCCTTTGATCGCAAAAATTTACTTTTTAAGGCCCTACAACGCTACGTTTGGAAGGTATTTAACTAAATACATTTTGACAATGCTATTGAGCGTTGCGGATTGCAGTCGATTTTAATATTTAAATATGTTTTTTCAACAAATCTTCTACATTTTTAAACCAAAATGCAATTCGTCACGTCTCCGAGAAATTATATTTTTTAAAGATTTCATTTATAAAGATTGGTTGCTAGTAAGAGACGTACAACGTATGTAAACTACTGAAATAATATAGGAAGGAGACGATTAATGCTTAGCATAGCACATTCTCTTGAATCGCCTTTCTCAATAGCGTATTTAATACGTTTGCTTCAATGCTTCCGCCCTTACCTTTTACTCAGGGACGGATCCAGAGACGAATTTTTTTGTGGGGGAATTGATTAATAAAATCTTAGGTCCCAGAAAAGGTCCTAAATTTTTCTAATGATATAATAGAATTAGCTATATGTTTAAAATACAACTTAATGATTATTTTTGAGATACCGGATAACCTTTCCGGAACCTCAAAAATAATCATTAAAATATATTATAAATATATGTCTATTTATGTCGTTCATATCAATAATGGCACAAATGTTGATGCGACCCTAAAATATTAAGAAAATATATTAAGTTTGATATGTAATCAATACATTAATGGTTTCAAATTTAAGAAAGTAGTAATAATTTGTTATTAAAATCGTTGAATTGAACCTCCAAAGCGACGAAGAAATATATTTTACATTGTATGTATCATTACAGATGGAAGCAGATATAATATAAATAAAACGTATGATTCGCTTTACAATTCAAACATTGCCGGTCCGTATAGCCGATATCGTGAAGTGTTGTAGCGATTTCGTACAGAAGGATCGCGGTTAGAGTCCCACCACGGGCAAGGTATGTATTTTGTTCGTCCTTTCACCCCCTATCATCACCATTTTGTGTCTTCACAGTTACCATACAGTGAAATGAATAGTGGTCGCCAAACAACTAGATGTTGATGTTACCTTAAATAACCAAACTATAATACTCGTAATAAATTCCCTTACAAACAAACGTTAGTGTCAAAGCTGAACAATTATAAGGAAGTCTTAGTCTTTCGCCCCTTTATTTCATCATCGTCCTTCGTTCGCGTCATTCGTCTTCGTCTTTGCATTCGTCACTCGCCTCCATCTTTCGCTTTCGGCTTCGTCTTTCGTCTTCGTCTTTCGTCTTCGTCTCGAGAGAGATGACGGCGACGAGCGAACGAAAAGCGAAAGACGAAAGGAGAACACATATCGACAATTCGAAAAAAACAACAACGAAAAAGGAAAATTCCCCGGGGAAAAAAAAAAAAAAAACGGGGGAAAAAAAGGACCCGAAAAAAAAAAAAAAAAAAAAAAAAACCCCCAAAAGGGGGGGGGAGCAACGGGACAAACGGAAAAAAAAAAAGAAAAAAACACGGGGAAAGACCGAAAAAGAAAAGACCCCGAAAAAACAACAACGAAAAAACCGAAAAACAAGGAAAAACCTAAGACGAAAAACGAAGAACACGAACGAAGAAGCACGAAAACGAAACAAACGAAAACGACCAACGACCGAACACGAAAAACGGAAAAGCGGAAAAGGAAAAAAGAAAACGACGAACACGAAAAACGAATCAAAAAGCGAAACGAAAAACGAAACAAAAATCGAAATATGAAAAAACGAAAACAAAAGAACCGAAAATGCAAAAACGAAAAAAACGAAAACAACAAAACAAAACGAAGAAACGAAAGACAAAAACGAAACGAAAAAACGAAAACAAAAACGACGAAAGACGAACTATGAACACCGAAGGACGAACGACGCAATGAAAAACAAGACGAAAAAGGAAAAAACCACAAACACAAAGACGAAAACAAACAACGAACAACGAGGAACAAGGACGAACGACCGAAAGGAACGAACGACGAACAAAGAAAACAAAAAAACGAAAAATAAAGGACATGGACGAATAGGAAAAATACGAAAAAGCGACGAACGGCGAAACAGCGGAAGACGAAAGACGAAAAAACTAAAAACGACAAAAAAACAAACAACAAACGAAGCACCGACAGACGAAGACGCAACGAAAGACAAGAATACGCCGAAAACGAAGACGAAGAGAAAGATGAAAAATACAAGACGAAAGAATGAAGCGAACGACGTAGAAGAAAGAAGAAAGCGAAAGACGAAAAGCGAAACGAAAGACAAGACGAATACGATAGACGTGTGGATAAAGAACAACAGAGGAACACGCTGACGGAAAGTCGAAACACGAATGACGCAAAACGCGACAAAGACGAGACAAGACGAAGACGAAAGACGAAGAGAAAGAGCGAAGACAAACACGTAGACGAAAGACGAAGTACGAAAGACTGAGGAAGAAAGACGAAGACGCAAGTCGAAGCAAGACGAAAAGACGAGACGAAAGGACGAAGACGAAGACGAAGACGAAAGAAAGACGAAGACGAAGAAGAAGACGGAAAGACGTGACGAATGACGAAGCGAAAGACCGAAGAACGAACAGATGAAGACGAATACGAAAAACGAAACGAAAGAATGATGACGGAAAGACAAAACGAAGACGAAAGCGAGAGAAGACGAAGATCGAAAGACGAAAGACGAAAACAAAAGACAAACGAACACGAAGACGAAGACGAGAACGAGAACGAAGAGAAAGACGACGACAGACGAAGACGAAGACGAAGAGAGCAAAACCGAAGACGAAAGACGGAGACGAAAGACGAAGATGAAAGACGAAGTCAAAGACGAAAGACGAATAGAACGACAAGAAAGACGAAAGACGAAGAGTAAAGACGAAGACGAAAGACGAAAGAAGACGAAGACGAAGACGAGACGAAGACGAAGACGATAGACAAGACGAAAGACGAAAGACGAGACGAAAGACGAAACAAAGACAAAAACGAAACCCGAAGATCGAAGACGAAAGAAGAGACGAAGACGAAAGACGACGACGATGACGAAGACGAAGCGAGCAAATGACGAAGACACAAGCGGAGACGAAATACGAAGAGGAAAGACGAAGGTCAAAGACGAAGTAAGAATCAGCGAAGGGGGGGGAGGGCGACAAAGACGAAGAAGAAAGACAAGAAGAAAGACGAAAGAGCGAAGACGAAGACGAAGAGAAGACGAAGACGAAGAGAGACGAAGAACGAAGACGAAGACGAAGACAAGGACGAAAGACGAAGACGAAGACGAGCGAAGAGAAATGCGAAAGACAAGAAGAATAGACGAAGACGAAAGACGAGCGAAAGAGAAAGACGAAAGACGAACGAAGACGAAGAGGACGAAAGACGAAGACGAAGGCAGGCGAAGACGAAAGACGAAGACGAAGACGAAGACGAAGACGAACGAAGACGAAAGACGAAAGCGAAAGGAAATACGAAGAAAAAACGAAGAGACGAAAGACGAAGAGAAACGGACAGACGAAAGACGAAGACGGAAAGAGACGAAAGACAGAAGACGAATGACAGAAGACAAAAGAGGAAAGACGAAGCGAAAGACGAAAGACCGAATAGACAAGAAACGAAACAAAACGAAGACGTAAGACGAAGAGAAGCGAGAAAGACGAATACGAGCGAGAAGACGAACGAAAAACGAAAACAGGAACGAAGACGAAAAGACGAAGACGAAAGACGAGACGAAAGACGAAGAGAAAGAAGCGAAGCGATAACGAAGACGAAGACGAAGACGAAGACGAAGAGCGAAGAACGAAAGACAGAAGACGAAGACGAAAGAAACAAACGAAGACGAAGACAAAGGAACGAAAGCGAAGACGAAAGACGAAGACAAAAGACGAAGAAGAAGACAAGACTGAAGGACGAGACGAAAGACGGTAACGAAGAACGAAAGACGAAGACGAAAGCCGAAGAGAAAGACGAAGACGAAAACGAAAGACGGAAAGACAGACGAGACGAAAGACGGAGACGAGACGAAGAGGAAAGAGAAGTCAAGAAAAGACGAATACGAAACGACAAAAACGAAGACCAAAGACGAGACAAAGACGAAGAACGAAAGACGAGACGAAAGAGAAGACGAAAGACGAAACGAAAAAGACGAAGACGAAGACGAAGACAAAGACGAAGAGAAAGACGATAGACGATAGACGAAGACGAAAGACAAGACGAAAGAGAAGACGACGACGAAGACGAAGAGACGAGAAGAAATACGAAAAACGAACGAAAGATGGTGACGAAAGCCAAAAAGGCGAAGACGAGCGAAGAAGAAAGGACGAAAGACAGAAAGACGAAGAACGAAAGACGAAGACGAGACGAAGACGAGACGAAGACGAAGAAGATAGACGAAGACGAAAGACGAAGCGAAGACGAAGACGGTCACGAAGACGAAAGACGAAGACGAAAGACGAAGACGAAAGACGAAGGGACGAAAGACAAAGACGAAAGACGAAAGGACGAAACGGAAAGACGAACAACAAAATACAAAACGAAACACGAAGACGAAGACAAGACGAAGACGAAAGACGGTACGAAGAACGAAAGACGAAGACGAAAGACGAAGACGAAAGACAAAGACGAAAGACGAAAGACGAAGACCGAAAAGACGAACACAAAAACAAATAACGAAACACAAGACGAAGACGAAAGACGAGACGAAAGACGACGCCGAAAGACGAAGAAACAAGACGAAGACAAAGACGGAGAAGCGAAAGACGAAGAGGAAAGACGAAAGAACGGTATACAACGACAAAGCGAAGAGCAAGAGAAGAGAAGACGAAGACGAAAAGACGAAGACGAAGACGAAGACGAAGACAAGACGAAGACGAGAGAACGAGACGAAAGACGAAGACGGAAGACGATAGACGAGAGACGAAGCACCGAAGACGAGAGAGAGGACGAAGACAGCGGAAGAGAACGAAGACGAAACGAAAGACGAAAGACAGAACAGACGAAGACGAAGACGAAAGACGAAGACGAAAGACGAAGACGAAGAAAAGACGAAGACGAAAGACGAAGACGAAGACGAAGACAAAACCGAAGCGAAAAACGAAGACGAAAGACGAAGACGAAAGACGAAGACAAAGACGAGACGAAAGGACGAAAAAGAGCGAAGACGAAGACGAAAGATCGAAGTACGAAAAGACAGAAGAAGAAAGACGAAGACGAAGACGGAGACGAAGAACAAGACGAAAGACGAGACGAAAGACGGAAGACGAAGAAGAAAGACGAAGACGAAAAGACGAAAGACGAGAAGACCGAAGACGAAAGACGAAGGACTGAGAATAGACGAAAGACGAAGAGCGAAAGAGAAGACGAAGACCGAAAAGAGAAGACGAAGACGGAAAGACGAAGACGAAAGACGAAAGGACGAA